AGACCCAAAACTAACCCCCCGCCGCAGCTCCGCATCTTCCACCACCTGTGGTGGAACGTCCGGCGTAAGCCCGGAGACCCCCATTTCCCACGGGGCAAAGCACTGGTCACACACACGGGCAAGCCACCCACCCGGTGTTCGTGCCGTATTCCGTCACATCACGCACCCCGATTCTGGAAACGGACTACAACTTCCACAAGTCCAACAGCACGTATTTCTCGGATCTGGACATCTCGCGGACGGCGCTCGTCACGCGACTGTACACGCCGGGGATCCGCACCGTGAGCAAGGAGCTCGATGCCGAGCTCGGCGAGGCTGCGCGCCGCGAGGGGAAGAAGCCGCCCGCGCACAAGAACATGTATGTGGCGCTGGGGTCGGTGTTTTGTTCGTTCAAGAGGGAGATTAAGCCGTTCGAGCTCTATGAGATCGAGACCAAGGTTATTGCCTGGGATCGGAAGTGGATGTATGTGTTGAGTTTCTTCCTTCGGCCGGCGAAGGCCGGCGGGAAGAGGTCGCTGTTTGCTACCGCTGTGAGTAAGTATGTTGTTAAGAAGGGCCGCCTTACGGTGCCCCCGGAGAGGGTGCTCAGGGCTAGTGGGTGGTTGCCGGAGCGTCCGGAGGGCGATGTGTTGGTTGCTGATAGTCCGGTGGAGGGCTCGGGCGTGGGGACGCCGGCTGGGGAGGGGATTACGGCTACGGCTGGGGTTGACGGGGCGTTGGTGAGGGAGGTTCTGAAGGTCAGTGAGGGTGATATGCCTGAGACGAAGCTGGAGGAGGAGAAGAAGGCAAATGCTGAGTCGTGGAGTGTGGGTGAGTGGACTTGGGAGATGATTGAAGAGGAGAGACAACGGGGGTTGGAGGTGGTGGCAGGTTATATCAATATGGATACGAAGCTACATGACGAATGGGAGCGGTGATGAGTTGTCTTGATATAATGTTTTACGTTCTCATCTTGGGTTCTTAACAATATTGTTATGTTCTGTATAGGTAACTTTTGTATAGATCAGAATGTATAGAACGCTGGCGCTTCAACTTGCATGCTATATTAGAATGGTCCGCATCTCAGCCATAGGATACCCTATAGATATCTCTCCAAGCTCACCTCCATTGCCGGTACACTAATCGCAGACCAAAACCATCCCAGCTAACTCTTTCACGGATCACAGAGCGACCTATGGAAATCCCAAACAACTACCGAAACGATTAGCCCAAAGCCAAGGGGTTGAAGCGCTTTCACGCGAAACCTACTCTTCTGATCCTCCTCTGAGCATTTCCCACTCTTTCCATCAATCCCAGCCATACACAGTCCCACTGCCACATGGAAGTCCGGTCTGTCACAGAAACAGGGAATGTCGAGTCCACGGCAAATTTTCACTTCATCAATGCAGTCGACCTGGATTCCTCCGTCAGCACCCAAAAGCATGATCAGTAGACACGAGGTAAGCAACACACCAGACACTGTGGGACGTCCTGTTCTATATTGGCAGCCACGACAGCAGCCACGAGGGCCGTTAGAGCGACCGCGAGGGAGAGCTTCATTTTGGTATAATTGCTTGACTTGTCCTGCAGTACTTGGTTTACGGGTGCACAGCTGATATTTATAGTCTGGGAGGGAGCGCTTTTCTAGTTTTATTTTTTGGCTATAGATAGCCCTGGGACATGTTTGGTCCCTGAATCTGTGCCAGGGACGTACCCTCCTAGCGTCTTGTGATACTCGATATGCATCGATAGGGAGACGGATATAGCATACCTTGTGGGGTCATTGGAAGGTAGCTGCAATAATAGATGCAAAAAGTGTGATTTAAGGCTGCACAGATACCACGTATGGATCGTTGTGCGATACCTGTCACATTGCCAGCAAGCTTCTGCAGGGTGATCAGCTGTCAGGGCCAGTTTTTCCATATAGTGCATTGGTCTGGTCACTACTCTTTTCAATCAGGGGCTGTTGGGCTGGGGGATGGACCTGCAAGGGATGCTTCTTCTATTGGTTTTTTTCTTTTTCTTGACCTTCAGATATCACTAGGGGTGTTGGAGGATTAGGATTCATGGTGGTGGGTATTAGACCAGATTGATTGAATATCGTAGAATTGATAAAGACGAAATAAGCCCGAAATATTGTTTGATGACGACAGGTGAACAGCTCTAACCCCTAACTCCATAGCACCATAAATTCCTATCTCATTCAGTTCTTCAGCCGGCCCTGTGAGTCTCTCCCCCCGTTCAAGAAGCTGTTCAAGTATCCGATGCAGACGCTTATTCATGTCAGCCAGCGGCGCAGAGAAAATGGCAAAAAGGGACATACCCAGAGCGAGTTGTATCCGCAAAGGTCTCATGGTCAGGCATGACATTTTTCCTGAACTCGGGATCATCCCAGACCTTCTTGAAATCCTCGACGTCCTTCATTACAAACTGGACAATATAGTCATGGTCGGAGAGCTTCTTCGACATCTGCAGGTATTCGGCATGCGGGCGTGCGGCACTGAAGTTATCGATCTGCAGCATCACTACAGTTAGCATGCATGCATGCATTACAATCTCCCACCAAAAGCCACCCGGGGGTTAGATCCCAAACCCACCACATTGTATTCCAGGATACCGTATTTCTCCAAGAAAGGCGCAGCTTCGGCGCATGTACTTTGCAGAGGTGGTGGTGGAGCTCCTCCTCCGTCAACCCGGGCTTGCGGTAGCCGTTGATGGTGATGACGATCAGACGCTGATTAGTCTCCGACATTGTGCTGGCTCAGCCAAAAGAAAAGCCTACATGAACGAGTTATGGATGGATGGTATGTCGACCCAAGAATGCACGCTCGAGTGAGGGAAGTTCGGGCCTTTTTATTTATGAGTTGGGGGACTTCCGTCCGCGCCCCCCCTTGCGTCCCATGGGCGGCCAATGGAACTACCATGATCTGGAATCTTTGCTGAAATGTTTAACTTCCCTTGTGTTTCGGTTTCGGGTTGCATTTATCGAGGGTTGACAATTGGTTGGTTGGAGCCAAGAGACATTGCGGTTGCATCGGCGCGACGCTTTCGGAAATAGGCTGCTGGCTTGACATTCTCGCTTGCATCGGATGGCGAATATTTTTCTGGCTCGGTGAACAGGATTCGAGAGAGTCGAAGCCTTGGTTCATAATTACTCGTGTGTGCTGGTAATGTCGTTCATAATTTAGACAGATTGGGGCCGGTAGAGATGATGTGGCAAGGCGTTGCATAGACGGACTTGATGTTTGCAATGGTTTTTACTTCCTGTCGCCGTATTCCATTTCACTTCAGTTCTTACCTTCTAGTTGGATCCCCAGTGGGTTTTCCCTTCCAGAGTTTGCTTTCTTTTCAGTAAGCGTTGCATTTGCATGGTATAAATGTAGGCAGCAAAACGAGTGGTCCGTTGTGAAAGCCGCATTAGGAAATGTGCATTGAAATGACATTCATTAGGGCTCAGGCCGAGAATGTCGGCTGGCCCCATGAATTGTTTGATCGAGGTCAATGAAGGCAAGTAACTGGTGTCGGTATAGATATTTGTAGAGCGCAGTTATCTAATATAGCTGAAATCATCTTCTCCTCTGTTTGGCTTTCGAATATACCTGGACTTAATTATATATGAGACACGATATAATTCTGCATGTAATATTAGAAAGCTTTTTTGGATCTTACTATGGTATATAACTTCAAGGTTCCGCCTATAACAGCGGTATTAACTAGGTAGAGTGACTACTAGTACTTACAGGCAGGGAAATACGTTGTCTTCAACCAGGGAACTGCTAGTGTTCATACATCCAGTGAAGCTTTGAACTATAGAATTCAGATTCACCTGACTAACTATAAAGAGAAATTAATTATACTGTTCATTAAGGAGATTTCTTATACTATACCTAACTATCCCAGTCACTGCAGCTTTAGGAACTTGTTGTTAACTATTACGTACTATTAGAAGACTTAGAGCTACTGGAGACTTATTATCCGTTCAAGTATGTCATTCTATACATTCATCGACTATATACATCATTCGTATGTTTCGTAACCTCCTTCAATGCTCTAAACCAACCCCCAGGCTACCGTTGAAATCCCTGAAATCGCCCCTCAGGGTCCCAATACCGTCGCGCCTGACTTCCTCCACCAAGTCCTTGACTTTAGGTGCGATGCTCTCCGGCGCAAATCCAAAGTGCTCGTACGCATCCTTTGAAGGAAGACTCTTTCCAAAGCTGTTCATCGATATTGAAGCATCAGCATAGCGCTCCCATCCGTAGGATGGGTACGCCTCGATCACGACCGTGGGCTTTCCGGCGCGGGGCTTCAGAACCGATTGCTTGTACTCCCGCGACTGTTGCTCAAAAAGCCTAGTACAAGGGAAGGAAACAACCCGTGACCTAATGCCATGGCCCCTGAAAAGCAACTCCCGACTCTGCATGGCGAAGCCCATCTCAGAGCCGACTCCGATCAAGGTCACATCGAAATCGTCGTCCTCGGTCTCGACGAAGACGTACGCACCCTTGAGTGCACCCTCGCGCGAGGAGTGTTGGGGGTACTGGGTCAGGCTCTGCCGGGAGAGTGAGATAATGGTGGGCGTGTCGGTGGCCTGGATGGCGGCGATGTAGGCGCCGGCCACTTCTTCAGCGTCGCATGGACGGATGTAGAGAACATTAGGCATTGCACGGTAGAGGGCAGCAACAGCGATAGGTTGGTGCGTAGGCCCGTTCTCGCCAACGCCGATACTGTCGTGCGTGGCGATGTGGATCTGCTGGAGACCTTGGAGCGCGGCCATGCGCACAGCGGCGGCAGCGTACAAGTGGAAGACAAAGTATGTGCTCGTCATGGGGATGAAAGTGCCTTTGTTGAAGGCAGCAAGCCCGTTGGAGATGGCGCACATGGCGTGCTCGCGGATACCGTAGTGGATGTATCGGCCACTGTAGTTTCCGTTCAGGCCACATGCCGTTCGGAGTTCAGGCTGGGTTTTACGTTAATACCCTGCTTTGAGGCCCAAAAAAGGGAATACTGAACATGGCACACTCACCGATTGGAAGTCGACCTTGTTTTTGTATGCGACATTGACAGACGGAGTAAGATCCGCCGTGCCCACCAAGAATGAATTGATTCTCTGTCCAAGGGCGTTGGTCACGACACCGGCTGACTTTCGGGAGGCTGTGGGCGCAGTAGGCTGATCTTCCTTGTGAGGAATGCATTTGGCCCAGTCTTCAGGCAGCTTTCCCGCGACACGGCGCTCAAATTCAGCCGCTAGTATGGGATCTGCCTCATGGTACTTCACCAGGGCCGCTTGCCAGCCTGCCTCATGGGTATCACCACGGCCAGAAATGTCACTGAAGAAATCGTAGACGTCCTGGGGGATATGGAAGTGCTCGTCAGGATTGAGACCGAACGACCTCTTGACGTTGGCCACTTCGTCGACTCCGAGGGCAGCCCCATGGACATCGGCGGTGCCGGCCATTGCGGATCCAAAGCCAATCGTCGTGCGAATGTTGAGGAAGGTGGGCTTATCGCTCGATCGAGCGGCAACAAGGACGTTTACGATGGCTGATGCGCGTTAGCAGAGCCTTTTATTTAGATCACCAAACGAAAGAGTCTTTGAGGCCTACCGGCAACGTCCGAGTCTCCATTGTACACGTCTACGACATTGAACCCAGTCGCCCGCATCTTGGTATTGATATCCTCGGTGTTGGCAACGTCTGCAGTTCCGTCACACGTAACCGAATTGTTGTCGAATATAACACAGAGGTTGTTTAGCTTCCAGTGGCCAGCGAGGGAGAGTGCCTCGAGACCAACACCTTCCTGAAGGCAAGCGTCACCAACCATGCACCAAGTCATATTATTCACCAGCTCATGACCGGGCTTGTTGTATGTCGCGGCAAGATTTTTAGTGGCCATGGCAAGGCCAACGGCATTGGCGAGGCCCTGGCCAAGGGGCCCAGTTGTAACCTCTATGCCCTCGTTCTCAATTTCGGGATGGCCAGGGCAGACCGAGTCGAGCTTCGATGAGTGGTAGGACTTGAGCTGCTCGAGTGTCATGCTCTTGACGCCAACAAGGTGCATAAAAAGGTACTGCCACAGGCAGGCATGGCCTATCATGGTTTCAGTTCAGCCACATATCACCTGTTTCTGCGGGTGCACAGGACATACCATTCGAAAGAACAAAGCGGTCCCGGTTAAAGTAGTTGCAATTCTTTGGCGAGTACTTCATGACATACTTGTACAGGGCAATACCAATGGCAGCCATGCCCATAGGAGATCTGTGATGAGGCCTGGTTAGCGTACGCCGTGAGCAAGGAAATCCCTGAAGATGGTGTCGATTTACCCAGCGTGGCCTTCGCCGTATTGCTGGCAGAGATCTGCAATGAAAGCTCGGAAGACATTCATCACCCGTTGATGCTTCTCTGGGCTCTCTAATCTGAGATCAACAGTAGCAGCAGAGGCACCGTTGCGGATGGCTGAGATTGCCTTGAGCGGCAGATTCTCGGCGGGCTCCTCGAGGAGTTCCAATGTAGGTGCCATGGCGTAAAGGTCAGGGCTGGCTGTGAGACTGGAAATAGCTGTATTAGAATGGCTTTTGGTGTTACCAAGTTGTAGCTGGCTCGTAAAAGCATTCGAGCAGACTATCAATTCTTATATTCGACATCATCCCATGTCTGTCGCGTGCCCTAGAATCAATGCATTGCGGCGATGCTGAGTTGCGGCTGTTCGAGGTCGAGGCGAAGCCATAGATGATCCAACCCCAGCAGTGTCAATGGCAGAAACTCGAGCTTGTAGAGAAGCTATTTTGCACAAACTGCTATTGCCGTAGACGGTAGGATGGACATGGGGGATAATCCCTCGCATCGAGGCATGGGCCCTCGCATCGAGAGCCCACTATACCGGTCCACTCCGGTTGCGCAGTGTGTCAATATATATTGGTGAAGGGATGAGCTGATCGAATTTCTGCTCCTAGGTCTTGCGCCTCCTGAATCCGGCTTGATATCCTAATCCAGTAGTATCCCAATATCTTTGGTGGTTTGCATTCCCTTTTTCTATAGCTACAGAGCAGAACTTTAGAAAATCCCGCTCCCCTACTCCGGAGTACAGTAGTGGATCCGACCTGACCAGTAGAACTGCTCACTGAGCTCTCTGCCATATTGATTTGAGGGTTTGGTTGGTTGGTGGATTTAGTAGGTGGGCCAGTCCCACAGACCTAGGCGTCTAGGACGTGCAGCATCTGGCTTCCTGATAAAGTCAAGAAAAAAACAGCTTCTTTTCGATTAAACGATGATGAATTAGATAGCTTCAAGATGATTTCCCGGGATACCAGGCTCATAACCTGTTGAGCGGATGAACTGATTGAATTCCTGTTCTGTTGCTTGAGTTGCTTGAATCTATCAACAAGACTGTGGGAAGAAATCGCTAAGAAAGAAGCAGCGCTAGGCCTAACTAGGGAGCGCCAACAGATAGCCCTGAGCCCTGAGGTGCCAGGTGGAATGATTGAAGCGTTGGTTTGACGATGGCTCGCTGGTTCGTTTTTCTCCTACACCAGAGATGTTCAAAAACCTGAGAGTATATTGAAACAGATGAGAGAGAGTTAATAGAGAACCGGGAAAGCGTGAAGGTCAGTCATCCTGATTAACGTGAATAAGCATAATGTACGTCCTTCACCTTGCATTCACTTGTTATCACTTCGACCTACCGCTTTACTTCAGTGAAGCTGGCTTGTGGCAATATGCAATATTCACATATGCAGCAGATATACTATCTGTACCTTCTATTAGTACCTACCATAGTAGGATCGAACCCACATGGATCCTGGTTGAAGTACAGGCAGGGAACGGGGTCGAGTTACTCATCTTTCCCATGGTTGGTATTTTGCTTGCCTCGCCTACGAGTCCAGCTGATTGATGCAAGCTGCGCAGCTAACCAAACGCCTTTGCATTACGAATGAGTTAGACTGGTTTAGTGGCCATTACGGCTCATATTTCCCCACTAATGGGAACCCCAGAGCTTTGAAGTGGGTCAGGCCAAAGCGGGGGCAATTTAATGAACACTGGGGAATATTTAGGAATATTTGGCAGGCCAGTCTTCGAGACGAAGCCACAGACAAATGTACCCTCAATGGAGGCTAATAGTAGTGCACAACGAAAATCAACAACTGAGGGCATCACCACCGGGACTAAGCGTCGCCGCATCCGACCGTCTCGGGCTCGCGGCTTGAGAACCAAGACAGGATGGTGAGTGAATACGCAGTTCAGTCAATTCAATTCCGAAGATCACATTCGCTTACACGCACAACAGTCTCACGTGCAGAGAGAGACGCGTGAAGTGCGACGATGGTAAGCCCACATGCATGCGGTGCTCCAAGTCAGATCGAGTCTGTCGATATGCCCAGATCGCTGACCAGCGACATGGAACCGGAGCCGGAGCCGACTATGAGTCCCCAAGGGCGCAACTCGATTCAAGAGGGGAGAGGGCTGAGGAGCAGCTGTCGAACGCTAGTACAGCTCCATACTTTCATCAGCCTACCTACTCATCCCCTACCGAGCAACCCAACGGCTCGATTGAGACGTCGCAGAATGATCGTCTGAACGAGGCCAATGACCAGAGACTGCCCAGCATTGACTCGGGATTCTCAGCCTCTCCACTTTCATTTAGTCAGGTTTCCCTGCTCAGCATCTCCCCGTTCGAGTGGTACGACCTGCTAGCACGGGATGCCATCAGCAATATTCAACGGCTGAACGATGCTTCAACGGGCGACCCACGATGAAATTTCCCGAGATTGCCCTCTCTCGTAGACAGTCGCCAGCCCCTGAATGTCCTGAGACCCACCTCGAACAATCCAGGAGGCACACTGAGCAGCAGCAGCTCGCTCTGGAACATCGAGATGACGGATTCGAAGCGCCTTCACTGAACCATTACCAGGTACCCGAACCTTGGAACACAACGAGTAGGATAGAATTGTCAGCAATCGACCTCAGGTTCTTTCGCTACTACATCGAAGTTGTTGGGCCAATACTAGACTTGTTTGATCCCGCTCGGCATTTCAGCAATGTTGTGCCCCATCTCGCACTACGAAATAGAGGGCTCTTGAAGTCGATACTCGCAGTTGGGGCTAAGCACATGTCTCTCGGTCTCATAAATGTGCCCGGTGAAGATGTGCCAGGCGATCTTACCGCTCCAGATGCGAGTGCTCCAACCTCGCTAGCAGCAGCCACTGGTCTGCCATCTGAACCAGATCCTGCTCCGGCACACATGGCTACACAGTATTACTATGAAACGCTTCAATATCTATCGCAGACACTGCTTTATCCCTCCTATGCAGACTCCCGCGAGATACTGGCGACAGCACCATGATCAGCACGTACGAGATGTTTGACGCCGACAGCGCCACCACCAGTGGTGACTGGGAGAAACACCTGCGTGGCTCGTTCTGGATACAACGGTCTCAAGACAATGACGGCGAGTCCGTGGACGGGTTGAGACAGGCCGTGTGGTGGGCATGGCTCCGGCAGGACATATGGGCGGCCTTCCGGGCAGGACGGCCAACGCTCACTTTCTGGCGTGCTCGAAAAGGGCTCGAGGAGCTTGACTCGGATGAGCTCGCAACACGGATAGTCTACATATGCGGCAAGTGCGTAGCCTATGCCGCTTCAGATGAGACGTCGCCAAATCAGGATCCAAGACACAGAATCGAGCAGGGTGACCGACTTCTCTGCGCACTCGACGATTGGCACCGTGTCCTCCCCGCCTCTTACCAACCGTCACCGTCGCCATGGACCCTGTCTCAGATACTACTGTGTTCCCGCCCGTATGGATTCACCCGCCCAACCACGCAGGCGCTATGCAGATGTACAATTTTGCCAGAGCCATGTTGCTTCTTAACCAACCCACGATGGGCGGACTAAATGCCTACTGTCTCCGTGACAAGCAGCTTAGTGAATGTGTCACGATGGTCTGTGGCATTGCCAACGCCTGTCAGGAACATGAATCCGCAATGGCCTTTGTTAACGTACAGGCTTTGTTTGGAGGTAAGTGTCTTTTCTTGATTAGTTGCTGCCCTGGCTGACGAAACCTTAGTTGGCCAGTTCGTTCGTTCGCCCGAGATGCGCGGCGAGTTGCTCCGTATTTTGGAAAAGATGCTGAAGATTAGCAAATTCCCGGCTAGGGGGCTTGTTTCTGAACTCATAAAAGTGTGGCAGGAATGAGTTGTAGCAATGAAGTGTGCGAGCCGAGCTGGGATCATTCATTCCATGGGGAGCTCTGTATACTAAATGCAGAGCCCATTCTACCACAGGCGTTCTATGTACTGAGAGTAGATACAAGAAAAGAAAATCAGTATTATTCCAGTTGAACTCTTGAATCAACTTGTCCGCATGATCCGTGTATATCTTCCATCGTTATCGTGAATTCAGTCCCTCACCACGCTCCTACAATACCAGCAATTGGAATATCGATACCGGTCGTGTACGAAGCACCATCAGAGAGTAGGTACACATAAGCTCCGCCGAGCTCCTTAGGGTCGGCCAATCTCGGCATACCGCCATAGTATTGCATTTTGAGATCCCAGTCCGGTGCTTGATCCACGAAGTATGTCATAGCAGTCTTTATAAAGCCCGGCGAGATTGAGTTGACGCGAATGCCATGCTTGGCCCACTCCATGGCCAGCGTATGCGTCATATTGCGCACGGCACCCTTGGTCGCTCCATAGGGAGCCGAGGGAGCCGCGCGGTTGGGGCGATAAGATGTCATGGAGGCAGTGAAGACGATAGATCCCTTGATTCCCAGATCGATGAACCGGCGTGCCACAGTAGTAGCGCAGAAATAGGCGCCAAACACGTTGAGATTGAACAGTTGGTCCAGCTGGGCGCGGCTGAAGTCGAACGCCGGCTGGTGTTTTGTCATGCCGGCATTGGCGATGAAGCCGTGGATGGCTCCTCGTGCGGAGATGACAGCATCGATCGCGGAGCTGACGCTCTCCTCGGATGTGACATCGCAATGTACGTAGTGTAAGCGCTTCGTGTTGACTTTCTGCAGGGCGGCGAACTCCTCGCCAGGTTCGAATACGTCCAGGCTGAAGACGGCGGCAGCCTCGTTGGCCAAACAGACCTCTGCTATGGCTAGACCAATGCCCCTGTTGGCACCGGTGATGGCGATGACCTTGTCCTTCAAAGTGATTCTCCAGTCATGATCTGGACCTGGCTGGGTGTCAAGGAAGGCGGGTGACACATCGGAGGTATCTTGGCCTGGTGTCACTGCGTTGCTACCGTGGCCGTTGCTATTGGGGGCGTCGAACATTTCCGGAGGCATTATTGAGGATCTCTTGTGTACTGCAAGGATTATGAAAGTTGAAAGGATTGAGAAGCCCTTGGGTTGGAAGGCTCCCTTTTAAGTCTGCTATGGACTTCTATACGGCAAGACTCCGATGCCGCTTACATGCATATAGCAGTGGTTCGGTAGACTGGAATCGTGCAGCTCCATTGACGAATGGGGCAGTCTAAGGATGCATGCGCACGCATCTTCGAGGACTGCTAAGTAGGCCTTGTTCGCTTTGAGAATAATACGACTGACCAAGGGCGCCAAGATGATCTAGGGCACGCACTAACGAGCGGGTCAGACTAAATGGTACATCGCATCGAGTCCACGCCGGGACATTGCTGGGAGCATGATTGACAACTCACACCCCTGTTATGTGGATATCCATGTGTCTATGGAACTTACATAGCAAACGGTACACGGGCAGAGTGTCACGTTTCCCCCCTTTCGGCTCTGGTGGCCCTCGAATTTCTGCCTCAGCACTTTCAGCCTTCAACCTTGCTTTCCCCACACTTCACTCCACGACCTCCACTAGATCCTTTTTCCTTGTCTGCACATCATGGTCAAGTTAGAGAGAGTAATCTGGCAGAGACGCAAGCCCCGAGGACGCGGGCTTCGTGCTACGACTGGTTGGTTAGTATCTCTCCCTTCCCCGGATACTTGACTATTTCGGGTATCTCACCTAGCCCTAGCCTCATCTGCAAACGCCGTCACGTTAAGTGCGATGAAGTAGGTGACCTTCCATGTATAAACAAATTGATCTGTCAGGAATGTATGTCTGACTTGACCAGGTTCATCCCCAATGCGGTCCCTGTGCAAAGGGACGGCGTCCTTGTGTCTACGCGCATTCGCATCGCCGTGACGTTGCTGCCCAGCCAGGAGTGTCCGAGTCCCCTCCAGACAAAGTGAGTGGGGACCAGAACGGTGGGAGTAACTCTAGTACTAGATCCCTGCAGGTCGTGGTGGACTCTCACCCCCAAGGCCAACAGTCTATTCAACAAGAGAGCCCTCCTGTGGAGCCACATCAAGCTCCCACAGGCGAGAATATGGTAACCCGCACTCCCAAACCGCCTGATAGCTATGTACCGTCATCAGGCACAGAAGCAAGTGATATACCCTTGCGATGCTTGCAGCTTTTGGCAAAGAATGCCACCGATGCTGATGGCGGGTTTCTGCTGTCTCCGCCACAGTTATCTCGCAACCGGGTCGAGACTGGAGAGGGCTGGGAACTGTCTTCCAACCTGCATCCTCACAAATTAAGAGATCAGCAGAGCTTTCATGCTGCGGCCTTCAGTCCGGAGATTGGACAGCGAATTTTGCCACAGTCACCTGACACTGAGTCCGTTGCAATCAAGGCACCCTCGTCATGGACCTCAAGGTATCCAATTCCTCTTTCGGACGTAGAGCATTATCTTTTTAAGCATTTTGTGCGTGTCTCAAGCAAATTGCTGGACTTTTATGACCCAGAAAAGCACTTTGCAACAACGGTTTCGCACATAGCGCTTCGGAATGTTGGTTTAATGAAAGCGTTACTGGCCTTTTCTGCGCGCCATCTCTCGCAGGGAAAAACCGAGAAAGAGAATGTTGTCCGCGGATCAATTGAAAAAGATGACATTCCGGGACACAGGAAAGATATTATTGACCGCACTCTTGCGGCTAAATATTACTTAGAGACCCTTGATTATCTGAACAAAGAAATGCAGTACCCATCCCATGCGTGGAGTTTGGATCTGATTGCGACCGCCATCCTCATCAGCACCTACGAGATGATCGACGGCTCGAATCAGAATTGGGAAAGACATATAAAAGGTATATCATGGAGGCAACAACTCCAGGACAACAACGGAGAGTCAGGAGGACTCCGATCAGCCATCTGGTGGGCTTGGCTTCAACAGGATATCTGGGCTGCGATGAGAAGACGACGTCGAGTCTTTAGTCTCTGGAAGCCTAAAAAGCCAGTGTCCACACTCACAGCACCAGAGCTGGCAACTCGTACCTTGTACCTGCTTTCTCAGTGCATCAACTATGCATCGAAAGAAGAAGAGGAAGCTTCAGATCTAGAGCGCCGTGTGGACCGGGGAAATGAGCTGCTGTCCTTGCTCCAGGAGTGGCGTGAAGTCTTGCCGCCAGAATATAGCCCACTGCCTTCCATACCTTGTAGTAAAATCTTTCCGCCAATTTGGGTGCATCCACCGTCTTATGCTGCGGCTCTGCAAACCTATAGCCTTGCCCTGATCCTCGTCATCTTGCACCGTCCATCCTCCGGCGGAACAGAAGACTATCGATTATTACAGCATATGTTGGCAGTTGCTGTGAGGACAATTTGTGGAATTGCAAGGTCTATTGATGAAAACGATGAGGGGGCGAACATAACCTCGTTAAACTGTTTATTTGGGGGTAAGATGGCCCGGAACAATCATCTATCGCATAATGCTGATATGGAATAGCGGGGATGTGTGTACACACTCCACACGAACGACTCGCGCTTTTGGACCTTCTTGGCTCATGCCAACGAAGGGTCCGCTGGCCCCTAGTCTCCCTCCGAAAAGAGCTTGAGCTGGAGTACTCAAAGGATGCTTTCAGTGGCCTGATGAGATGAATCAATTACACTGTTATTTGGTCGCATACGCCGAACATAGACTAGGCGCAAATACACCATCCAAATCCGCTTGGAAAGTTCTAGAGACCTTTCGGTCTGGAATCTCCCCGATCCATGCCTATATCACAGGTTACCAGTCTCGGGTTCGCACAATAGGTTGGAAAAGCAGCCCGGGCCATTCATTTCACGATTAAACCCACGGCAACAGTGGGGGCTCGTCTGCAAACTAACTTCCTGTGAGCCAAATAATCGCCCTACAGGCTGTGAGTAGGAAGAGTGATACCCACCGATTTGGGATACATACTCATATAGCATCTCAATCAAGAAGCCTTACTCTCCCCTCAGATCCCTATAGGGTTCGGCGTCTATATTCTCAAAGCCAGGCTTCTTCATGTGCAACGTTGTTGTATTTCTCTTAGCTGCGCCGTAGCGAATTCTCGCCCAATCAATCGATCAAGTTTCGAGTAATCGTTAGAGCCTAACTACGGGACTTATTTTGAGACACCCTGACCATCATCTTTAACACCTGCCCCCTGCGTTTAGTGTCTCCCTCGATCTTACCTACTCCCGCTATCGCTCTACGAGGGACTCATATATATCGATGATCGATATATCCTTCCAATAGTCAACACACCAGCGGATCATCACTGAATGCTACCCTCCCGCAGATGGCGCCGGAACCAGGTATGCAAGAACAAAAAGACAATCACGCCCACAGCCAGCATCGCAGAAATAACAGCAAACCCCAAAATATACTTAGGACTGTCATCCTCCGGGAAAAGATACTATTGCAAGCCTTAGATTATCCTTGTGGCGCGAACGGGGGGTAAGGAGCTTAGCGGGATACATACCGATCCGTAGATTTGTGCCAGATTACCCAGTGCATTCACCATAGCCAAAGCAACACCTCGGGCCTGCGGGTGCATCCCAGCAAAGGCAGAGGAGGCGTAGGCTAGCGTGCCTCCATTTGTGGCCCAAAGGCCTGCTGCCATGAAAACCAGGAGAATATATCGAGCTGTGAAGTTGTATATAGAACAGACGACAATTGAACATATCAGGGAGACTGTTAGCCAGCTAGCAATGATTAAGCCGCGCCATGTGGGAACTTTGTCACTATAGTAGGATGTGATACCGGTGGCGATGAATGCTACGCCGTAAATCGGGACAGTTAATAAGTTGACCTTCTTCGTGGATGCGTCTCCAAAAAGCCCCTCTACAAGGGTTGGGTAGAAGTAAGTCAGAGTGCTTGAACCAACGATGACCTGTGGGGAATGGTATGGTCAGTAACCGGAGTGTAAAGATGTGAGAGAGGAAAGAGTGGTTGACAAACCATGTACCCAATGATGAACGCCCAAGTGCGCCAGTTTTGGCAAGCCACTTTACACGCATCCAAGCTACTCAGATGCTCGCTGTCCTCAGTGGTGGTAGTCACATTCTCAGTGGACAGGCGTGCCACGGCGACCTGCTTCTCGCGCTCAGAGAAATGTCGCGACGTCGCGGGGAAGTCAGGAAGGATGAAGAGAGAAATAATAGCGAAACCGACAGTGGCTACACCTTCAATGATGAATAGCCACCGCCAACCACGAATACCATGAACGCCCTCAAGACCATCAACAATGCCGGCAGCGATTAGGCCACCAAAAGCACCCGATAGAACGGCCGCCGAGATGAACACGCCGAATCTCTTCGACTGTTCGGTTTGTTTGTACCATGATGAGAGGACAAGGAGCACACCTGGAGCAAAGCCGGCCTCGACACATCCAAGAATGACCCTAAGGACTACCAAGTGGGTGAAACTTTTGACAACAGCCATCACACAAGTCAATGCGCCCCAGAGAATCATAATTGACGGGAGGAAAATAGAGGGTCGGGATTTGCCCAGAGCAAGGCTGTAGAGAAAGAGCAGTTAGTGCTTCTGAGGTGAGACTGAGGGCTGAGTACTGATGATGGGACTGTCATACTTGCTAGGTACCTCGAAAACCACATATCCGATGAAGAAGACTACCAAGGCAATCGAGTATTGGTTGGATGTCAAGCTGAGATCTACCTCCATGCCAGAGATCTTTGCATTTCCGATACTGTACACAAACGCATTAGCCCCTAACAGAGTATACAGACTCTAGCTTTAACAAGCCCCCACTTACTTGGTTCTATCAAGGTAGGACAGGAGGTACATGATCCAAATGGTAGGAAGGAGGGTGAGGTCAATCTTCCTCACCAACGCCTTCTCTTCCTCAGAAGTGAACGATACTGCCTCATTAACACTCACATGCTCAATCTCATGAGAGGAGATATCCTTAAGTTGGCCCTCAGCATCGGCTAGGTTCATTATGGATTGTTCGGAGAGCTGGGGTTAGTGGACTAAGAAACAAAAAGGTAGTTTGGACATTGACCTCCTTACGAGGTGTTTATGTTTCATCTCCCTACCCAAGATATACCAAGCTAGGGCTTTTGGACTAAGAGCAATTTTGCCTTTTAGCTCATCAGTCCGCCCGCCATGATCCGGATTCACTTTGTCCACCTCCACAACTTCTCCACAGTCTGGGCAACTTTATGCGATTATCGTGTGGGGGGCATCGTATCGAGGGCCAGTGGAGCCTCTCACCAGCGCCAATCATGCCAGCCGGCACATTTTTTATATGAAGAAGATACAGCACTTTTCAATGATGGTCATTTCCTGTCAGATGACGCTAGCTCCGACGGAAACGGTAGTATTTACCGTCTTCATCCCAACCGTGCCAGGACGTTAGACCCGGGATTCGACCTCGTATCTCCCATAACCGACTTCACCTACTCCTCACAGAGAGGCTGACCGTCGGCCAAATCCCATAGATAGAGATTGAGGCAGTGGTAGCTATCGCGTAGCATATTCGATCATCATGATATTAGCTTTATGATTACAGAGAGGTCAGAAACAAAAACCGGAGATGAAGGGCACATATCGCACGATTATTTCCCACTGATGGAGCCGCCGCACAAATCTGGATCATCTAGGTACACCCCAGCAACTGATTCCATAAGCAGCATATCCCAGGAGGTTCATGCATTCATTCTGTGCCATATCAGCTGCCATCCCAAGAATATTTGAGGGGATAAACATACCTGTGGTATACTTCGACACCGATGACTGATAATTCAGACACCTTCAGGTATTCCAGCATGCTGGAGAAGATTAATTTCACCTCAATCGGCCCATCTTACCACCTGTCCTACCCTTCTAACAGTGACGCTTGACATGTAGGATCTGTACATGGCAAAATTATAGCGAGGGTGCAGTCCCAAAGAAGAATATTCTCTAGTTCCACTGCAAGGGTTGAATCTTCACTAGCTGGGAGACTTCTCAGACACTCCTTGAGAATATTCAGTGAGGCTCAACGCAAAGTACAAGGAGGGGGGGTTTACCACCTCGATGACAAATTCATCGCAATCCAATTTTATAGTAAACCGGTACATTGTGAAGGGTCACGCGTGATTTCGAGGTATGAAATTGAGATAGGTAGCAGGTGGTGATGCTGAATGGGAGGAAAGAGAAGGAGGAAGGAGGGGTTGAGGTTCTTTTAAAGAGGAGGGCTCATTGTTGCCTGGAGGATGTGGTCACTGACATGAACGTGATCAATTTGACTAGACAGATTCATTGCGGTATGCTAGACATTTTGTTCAGTACCAGCCATTCAAATATCCCCTGCAAAAGATCATGAGAGGAAAATTCAATCAATATGTCTCTAGATTCTTCAAGGCGGTTTCTAACATGCAGCGAACCATATAGAATTATATAGGATATTCTACAGGACAGTCTCAATATGGGGCTTTCTTGAACTGGTCTATACATGTATACAGGTTATATGATATTCATGTTGTCGAGAATGGTCCATTTGATATTTGGTCAATTATCCACCTTCCTGGACAATATGGGTATAGTTTTAGTTAAGGAGAGATACTGGCTGCTTTGCTGAAGACTTCCTATGTTTGTATTCATATTCTTGAAATGTTGCATTATACTAGACACCTGTATCCCTAGTTTAACTTCGCAACGATACGACAGCTTCTCCAGGAGATACGCTCATAGTAATCGGCTGAAACCTTATACAATTAATCTGAAATCCGTGTAACTATCTATAGCCTAACATATCTCAATTTGCGGAAGGGTTGTTTCTCTCAGCAGCAGCACCAGCAGAAGAAGACGCACCCTCACCATCACATCCAGGGACCTCACGCGTACGGCTAAAGAAAGGACTCGACACATAAAACGGCCTCTCCCCAGACAACCCCTTATCCACACCCACAGAACCACCGGCAGGAATACCCCCCTCAAGAGCCAACATGCGTTCCCTCAACGCAGGGTTCTGCATCAACCTACCCACAGGCTTCACATCGCCCTTATCCGCAAACCGAGCATCAGCTTCGCCCTCGAACACCTGTTCCGGGCCCGGAATCCACGTCGTCCCACTCTGCACACACCGATCCTGCATAGCCTCGGCACTTAGATTGATCATCTCTTCCCAGAACAGTCCTTCCCCGGATGGCACCACGCCTGCTGTTTCTAACATCTGAATGGCCTTCGCTACCCAATCTAGGCAATTGCCAACCCGAATTCGGGATGTTGGCGTCATTCCGGCCGAAGTTTGATAGGAGGCGAGCTGCGTGGTCTTTTTGTTGGACGGATGTGAAGTTGATGAGTTTGCATCGACCCCGGAGTACAGGGTCCTCCTGTAATGGCTGGGTGCGCGGGTCGTAGATGAAGTCTGTATCGCTGGGGTTGCGGATGTGGTGCATTTCGCAGGTGCGGGCCCCGATCTCGTACACGGCGATGCCCATGTGTGACGGGCCGTCGCCGAGCGTGGCATCGCCGCGGCCGTAGATGTTGACCGAGAGAGCATGGGTGGGAGTTGCCATGACGATATGGTATTTGATGTATTGGTTGTGGTGTGTGAAGAGCTGATATTATTCAAATTAGAAGGGGAGGGAGAAGGCTGAATAAAGTTTCCTGAAAGCGGCTACCTGCAGCTGAAACAGATCCGGCTTGACAGTAGTAGTAGTAGTAGTAGTAGTAGTAGTAGTAGTAGTAGTAGTAGATGATTAAATAGGTAGACTCCTGTGATAATATCCGGTTGCCTGGCATGGTACCAAAGAATTTGGTGGTTCGAAACAAAAAGGTATAAATATAGAAAGGCTACCATAAGAACGTATGGAGCAAAGCGAGAGCAATGCTATTTATCACGCGCAACAAGCCTACAACGATTAGTTCTGTAAAGTTCCATCCTGGGTTCCACCTAGACAAAGAGCATTGACACAGACATTTTGATAACTTCCGACATCAACAATTGCTAGCGCAGTGTACCGAATTAATCAACAAGACACACCTCTTAATTCCGTGGCCACTTGGTTTGAGACTTGTCGACTTGTCTATGGACATATTATAATACCTTCTCCTAGGCAGTCGCCGATTTGATGACACTATACCGGACAGATAGTCGCTCAGAATGTTTCTTTTAGCACTATATAATCCTCCCATTACCCATTGGATCAGTCGTTCAACAGAAACTCATTGAAAAAAAAAAAAGAATCAGGACCTACAAGCACAAGCTAGTGAGAATTAAACTCAACCGCAAAATGTACGCCATCACCAAATATTGCAACTTCAGGTAAGAACAACAACCCTCAAGTCAGGATGTATATCGCTAATATCAGGTAGTATAATGTCCTCCCAGGCGCTTCAAGACAATAACGATACCCACGATGATTATGACTTGCGCTTGGGCTTTAAGTTAGTATTTATCCCTTTTTCCAATGACAGCGCCCAAGACTCCAGTGGCGTTAGTAATGACAACGGTGGTGAAGACAATTTTGATTCCAAGGACTTTGATAAGGCATTGAGCCAGGTGTTGAGACACCTTATACAAGCCATACTAAGAAAGAGAGAGATGAAGTAGAGCTAGATAAGCCGAAATTGGTACGATATCTAGGGTTCCAAGTATCAACATATGAGGATTGTATGTGTGACCTGAGAATCGCAGGAGAGATTTGCTTGGAACCAAGGGCCGTGTGTGAAAGGACGGAAGAATCGACTCAATGTACTGTTTAATGCAGATTGTAGGTGTATGTCTTGCTCCTACTAGCAGAAATATGACTTTTCCATGATAGTTGATGCCTAAGGTAGACACCTTGATAGTACCAGACATGCAGTGAATACACCATTTAATTCACCTCTACCCCATCCCCAAGTTATATCTAAATAACACCGTAATCCTCAAATCTCGGCTTCCTGGACACATCACGAACTTCGTCTTTTATGTGTGGCTAAATCTCTTGACCTCTGCAACGACAGCGATACCCTGGAATCTTGGAAGAAGTAGGTCCATATTGTTGTCTATCGCAGTGCTATTAGAACTCTAAAAACTTGTTTCCACCGTTTGTTTCATACCCTCTACAATCACACTGTCGCTGATCAAATCTCAGTCACTCTACAAGGGCTGAACAACCAAGTCTCACCCCATAATCTCCCAGTTCTTCGATTTCAACGATCTCGGATTCAAGTAAGCAGGACACTAAGTCTATACAGGCACTACTAATATCAAAAGCATGGTTACCTGGATGAAAGAACAGGGCGACATTGATGTCCATTTCGGGTTCGATGCGAACATGGGATACTTTCTCATTGTCTACGATATGCGTCTCGCGGCCTATATTCCCGACGGGACTGAATTCGACGATGTCCGATATGCCGTATCAGCAGACGGTACTGGGGCCTATTTCACGGCTTATACTGGGACTCATAGACAGGGACGACGTGTCGGTGTTGAGACGATGAGGAAGCTCTGGAAGGCTTATGGAGTCTACGAGGAAGGCAACCGTGGGTTGGCAATGGCTAGTCTGCCTGACCTCGAAAATCCGCATGGGGTTGAAGATCATATGGAATAAATTGAAGGAGACGAGGTGGCCGCGGGCGCTAACTTATCTGCCTGAAACTGCTGGAATATAACGATGGGGAGGTTGCCTGTACATCTTGTGTTTCAAAAGTTTCAACTAGATTATGGATCCTTCTAGCCGTAAGGCAAGCTATGTTTCGATTACAGTCCGCATAGAATTTCAGGCGAGGCGGTCTCTGTTCATTTTCTAACGACAGATGCAGCCCGGACCTCGAATGTTTTCTCGCCATTTTGAAGCCATTCATCTAGCCCATCACAGGCCTTCTCCATCGCCGTTTTCAGGGTCTCGTCGCCGGCATCTGCACTATTCTCCCACTCAAAGCATCCACGGTCATTATTCCAAAAACGCATCGGTCCCTGAATGTCGTGAAGCTCTAACCGACCTTTTACTTTTCGGCCATGCTCCTCGGGCTGCATATCTGACTGCGCGTCGGGAATGATGAATACCTTTTCGAGACCACAGTACAAGAGCCAAGTCTCGGATATGCGTTCCTGGTCCAGAATTAGACCTTCAGACACGGCGATGCGTTTAAGGCCTAAGAGGTCATAATTATAAATTTCGTCGTATTGAGCCAGTGAAAGTAGCGTATAGTCCAAAAACCCTCCCCAGTAATCATACGGGATGTATAGTGTATCATGTTCTGGGTCAAATGGGCGTATAGCAATAGGGGCTTGCCCAGCTTTGTAGGAGTGTATCTTGAGACCTTGCCCTCGCATCCAGGCTAAGGTAATGCCACGGGCTTCAGAGCTGACAAAGAGGAGCGGCACCTCAACTTTGATAGGATTAGGGTCCAATAAATAGGGGCACCATTCGGAAAGTAAGTCAAGCCCCGCATCACTATTCATATAGTACCTGTTGCCTTCTTTCAGGCGTTTAAGCTTCAAGCAGTCCGCCTGGTAGACGTATAAAGCTTGTCTAATCTTGTCAGGTAGAGCGTATCGCCATATTTGGTGGCGGAGCTCTGGGGGAAGGTTCGGGAAGAGAGTGAACAAAGCTGTAACCATGGCTTTGCGATATTGTTAGGGAGGAGGTTTATGGAGTTCTGTAGAGCAACGAGCTTTGAAATCGATAAGATTTAGGAACCATGTGACTGCATTATAAAGAATAACTCGCACGCTAGTACTATTATGCTCAACTGGAAGGGCCGCTAAGCCTTTTGGCATAGCCAGGATGCTGCAGTGTCCGCCTTACAATTCCCAATTTCTATGCAAACCTGGCTTTAATGACGAACAAAGAAAATAGTCAACTATTCTATTCAGCTGCTAGAAGATGAAAGACAACAGCAATATACCGTTATTTCGACTTGATCACTTCTGGAAGTTATCCATGGATTAAAGGCTATACCAGATAACGTCACCTGAAACAAAGAGAAACAGTCCTTCGCATCAACTGCTGGAAAATGGAAGAAAAGCATGTATATCCCGGCACTGTCGATCTAAACTTACAGGAATTTTGTATTACTTGGATCCACGGGACTTATACAACATTAGCAGGATGATAGCTATAGAGGAAATCATACGGAAAGGGGTGCCGGTCACATTAGTGGAGATACCCATTCACTAAGGGAGTTTTGTCTCATGACTCTGGATTGCCTCTTAAGATTCGGAACATTCCACAAGACACTCAGGGCTTCTTCCATGTCATATATCCTCATAACAGGACTGGCTTCACTATGTATGACTGGGTGAACGCTTGTGACCCTGCATGTACACTGTCCGGAACTGCGACGGCCATTCACAGCATCATCTGATAACTTGTTTAAAAGTTTACCGGTCAAATTGGAAATGCAGCTGTTTCATAATTAAGTCTAGTAGTATATGAGTGGAACTTCACGCTCGAATCAGATACAGAGATTTGATTGGCTGACGGTAGATACAGTTGGACATCGTCCAAGATGACAGACAATCATCAAAAGGAGGATTCAAATACTAGGAAGGCAGATATAGGCATTGTACTAAGCCGGGCCGAAATCTTGAGGCTCAGCAATGCCGGCCAGAAGAGCAAAGACAAGAGGGCGGCGCTTCATCCAAATGTGCAGGCAATGGCCACAACTGGTGACTCTGCCAAGCAAAGCAGGACGACAAAACAACACGAAAAGGAGGACAGCACGAAACGGCATGACGGAGAATAGAACTATACAAGGCTTCCATCAAAGGCAGATGGAGAAGAGAGGGGGCCGAGCTCTAGTAAAGGCCCTGGCCCATAGCCTTTATTGCTGAGCCGATCACAAGGTCTTTTTCAGATTCTCGTTCAAGTCGGATGCCATAATTTTTTGTATCCGCGCTGGGATATGCTCATGACGTTGTTATCCTGCAACGCATTGTGCTTTGCACATCACTGAATGAACCACCAGTTGAATATGCTTATCCAGGTTTAAAATACTCCTGCAGGGCAAGAGACGGCAAGGATATATTAGAAGGTCCCGTTGTCCCAAGCGGCACCCACAACATGTGATGGTTTCAATGCAGTCTGACAGTTATGACTGTAGTTGCTTTTCTTCTGCTCTTTCGACTGACGCTGCTGAGTTCCATAACCTCAGCCAGGGTTAGCACAATACCTATACATGCATTCCTAGCCTTCGATCTTCCTTTCTATCATCAATTCTCAAGTCTTTAGATCATGGATGTGGGAGAGCGGAATGGGTGGATCCATTGTGACCCATGGCAAACACTTCGGCTTTTGGCAGCAGAACATTCGGGGTACATTTTGTTGAGATCGTGAAATAGATATTTGTGGCTCTGCATCATCTTTCGTGGTATCCCAGATAGTTAAAAGGCATTCTTCCCCTTGTTGTCTCCACCATATCCAATCAACAAGTAGCCAGTACTGGTATCACAATTCTGCCCTGGTGGCGAACATATCGCAATGAAACCAGATAACCAACAGATGAGGGGCTATTATCGATCATGGTTAACTATAGAAACAGGTCAGTCGCTAACTCAGTTGCTTACAACTGTAAGGATACGCACCTGTTATTAAGGAAAGTAGAAAACTCAGCGTTTTTTGTTGTGGTAACTGAGTCGGTGGAGATATTCGCTTCTCTCTTTAGTGGGAGAGTATGTTAAGTCTCTGCCAAAAGGTTTTCTCCTTTTTGGCATGAGAGGTTAGATTCATGGGAAGGGGAAAGTCATTGTCCGCTGTGGGATGGAGGGGTTTTTTTTTATGTCTGAGACAAGGAACGTCCTCTTGTACAACCCCAGGCTCCAGTTGCCCCTGAGACTCGGCCTGTGAATCAGGTCATTGTCTGTGAGCACACACACACACTCGTTATTACGTCAGGCACCTTTGGCATAGAATGGCGGGGAATGGAAGAGTGAGTAGAAGGGAGGAGAGAGCGCTAGTGACTATGCTTTTGAACAATAATACGCATGAAACTGGAGTCTTAACGTCTTGGAATATTCAAAATCTATTCACTCACTTGGCCATACTAGCGGCTATCATACATATCATGATACCTGTCAAGCCATACCATAAATTTGCGAGTCCATGGCTGTACTTCCTTCACAGCACTACCACCAACTAGAGATCTAACTGGAACCTAAAGGGGTAACCCCGACGCAGAAAGCCATTTCGCCAACTGTCCAGCACCGTCATGGTCCTTATACACCCTCTCCGCCTTGCCATCGAGGACCTCCTCCAAAAAGCTCCTGAAGCTCCTCGGTTCAAAGTCTGGATACAGCTCCCTGGCATCCAAGTAACCCAGGTACTTCGCATACTTCGGCTGGTTGTCACCCCGGATAGCTTTACTGGAAAAATACTGGAACAGGTTTAGTGCAAGACGGGCGGGTATGTTTTCTGGTTCCTTCTCAAGAGTCTCTTTGAAGGTCGCAATGGCTGTCTCAATTGTCTCTGCGGACATGTAGGTGCGATCTATCTTTTCGCCGCTCAGCTCCTCCATCATGTCGAAAATTTCGTTCTCAGTCAGCACGTCAGACCATGTGTAGACTGCTTGGTTGAGGGTGCGGGGGTCGCTGATAATGCGCGCGACGAAGGGGCCTATGTCACGGACGTCGGTGAGGAGGGTTGGGGTGTTGCCGCCTGCGTGGATGGTCGTGCTGGGCCCAAACATGGAGGCGTAGTCTGCGCGGCCAGATGGGACAGTTGGAAAGGTGACCTGGTGCCAGAATCCGACGTCGACAATAGTGTATGGGAGGTGGAGCTTGCGGATATGCTGGTATATCGCTTCTTTCTGTGGTGTTTCTGTTAGCGACGCTCCTGCGGTCCATTTCGTTGAGTAACATAGGAAATGCACTTTTCCATTGCTGGTGGGCAATTCTGAGGCTCAACATGCATATTATAGATGGAAATACCTCATCTCTCAAACCAAGCACGCCGCCTGGTGGACAAACAGTGATGAAGGAGCACGGTACAAACCGTTTCACGTCGGCCTGCTTTGCAGCGGTGACTAGGTTCTCCTGAAGATGCATGCTCAAGGCATCGATGGCGCTAATCACGACATCAAAGCCACGGAGGATGTTGGCTAACTCATCCACCGGGCCAGTGATATCGGCAGCGATGATCTTCACATCTCGTTCGGCCACGGCCTTCACTTTCGGGGTTTCAGCTGACGAAGGGCGAACCAACGCAGCGACTTCCTGGGGAGCGAAACGCTGTCAGCGGTAGCAATAGATATGGGCCGGCTTGACTGATAATTTTACATACATATCCGCCGTGCTCAAGGAGCCCATTAAGGATGGAACTGCCGGTCTGGCCGGTGGCACCAAGGAGAAGCACACGTTGGGACATGTTGGACAAAATTTAATACTGAGTGTTGTTTGAACTTGGTTATCTCGATCAACTGAATTTGTCTGTTATTACTCCCATGACGGCCAGATGGATAGCCGTTTTTATCATCAATATTTGGACATCAAGATGCATTTGTCAGTTGAATATCTGGTTTGCTAAGCAGATGACAAATCCAATAAGGACCATTCGGATGACGGATATAAAGTTCCCGGGCTACGAAATACCTCTACCGAGATCTGTATAGTTCCATGGATTAAACTTAATGATACTAAGTTGATCGCGCAATGGAAGTGGGCCGGTTGTCCGCATAGAGATGTGTCGGTTAGAGACGGAAGAAACTCCATTTAAAACACAAGGGTTTTGATAAGTGTTAGCAGAGCTAAGTTGACGTGAATCAATACTAGCCACAAGGCAGGTGCTGACGCGAATCGATTCTGAGTCGATAATTAATGGTCGAGTTCAACGATGTGTTTTTTATACTTGAGGATATATACAGCCATTGCATTCAGCAACCTTCTGCCATCGATAACACACTCGACGACAACAAATTCAAATACCATATGAAAATATTCCGGTAAAAACAGTCAACAATACAACCTTAAATTAACTAAATAATTCAGCTCCAGGTGGTAAATACTAGCTACGCGGTAGAAGAAGCGCCATGCCTGAGGTATACTCCAACCCGGCCCTAGCGGGCGCTAGCGGGCGCTAGAGAGAACGCTATAACGTGTTAGGACAAGATCATCTCGGTGGAGCAATTTATTACCCGAAAAGGCATTCGATCGATCCTCCTCGACATCCTGAGTGGGTCAGTATACAAATGTCTTTGGAGTGGATAGTAGGATACTGCCATGAGGTGAATACGACATAATATCCCATACTGACACAAAATTCGGTAGATTAGTGGCCCTCCAGTGCTAAGCGTTGCAGATCATAATCATTCGGACAACCAACTGTTCACATCAACCAGATACTCGGTGGTTGAGGTCAATGTAACGGCGGGTTCTATATAAGTCAGTCCCAGGGCTTCGGGATCGTTGATCCCGAATTATTCTGACCTTTTGGTCTTGTGGAACAGGGTGCCCTGGCTCTATCTCTTACAATCAACCGTGTCCCAATCGTGTAGGGCTGCAAAGGCCTATAGAATGAATGGGGAGGAACTCGTCCTTGTCGAGAAATTTGGGACGTGGTTGCAGGTCAGCTAGACCCTACATCTCGGGTCACAGTTGAACGGGGTCCAAAAAAAACTCGGTGGTGCTCAAAGTTCTGCCACTGTCTTTGCCACCGTCTCTGAACCCATGTATAGGCTCAATGGCCTGTTTAGCGAATATAGAGTTTTGCTTGGTATATAATAGTAAACCAGTATATATTATATATAGAATATATTTTAAATAGAAATTCCACGTACTAATATATTATCTATTTCTACTTACTAAAATCTGCAGAATTTTAAATTAAGTAGAATCTAATCTGAACGAGGCTTAAAAATATACAGTATACTAGTTGAACGGGGTTCAAGAGGCGGTGGCAGAATTCTAAAAATTTTGAAGCCCCGTTCAAGTTTTTCCGGATTCCGTGTTGAGCACTGCCAAGCTTTTTTTTAACCCCGTTCAACTGTGTGCCCAAATTATGCGCTTATTAATTTGTGCTTGTCAGTCACGTGTTTCAGCTAAGGGTCATCCCATCTCAGAAGCAAGGTAAGATGACCTGTGTACACATCTGGGACTGCCCTTCCGGCGATGAGACCAGTGACGTGACTCTGAGTTCAGTGCCCAGAAAGTTGATCACGATCCCATCAGGTCCGTTAGGGGTGATCGACAGCTTAGTGTATGTGCCAAGGGACGGGTGCCGCGAATTAAATGTGAAAGGCTGGCTATAGTCATACAAGGAGATGGATTGTCAGACTTGGCCTTGCGTAAGTCACTTGTAAAGTACGGAGCAACTTCAAATTTCTTATAGTCCTTTCCCTTATGACAAGAATACTATATTCCAGAACCAGTTGAATTATATACAGCGATCAAGAAACGTAATGTGCACCAAAAAAATACATCTATGAAGCTGTCTATGAAGAAAGAAGAAAAAGGGTTGGCCGCGTGCAAAGGATAGGTCCTGTCGAGGGCGAAGTCACTTCTCTATTCACCCTCGTTGCCGAATGGTACAGATATCTGCTGAAAAGCCTGTATGAAGAGGTACACTTATGTTGCGCCTCATGAAGCAAGACAATCGCTATACGGTTCGCGTGTGTCGGCTGTTGCTTGGTCACCGCCCACCGAAACAGCCTCGGGTAGCTTGGTAAATCCACTGCATTCGAGTATGATATCCCATCGACTGCCATGGGGCTTTTTGTGACCTAACGGTGATCATCCCAGTATCTGCTATTGAAGAAGCCTTGCGTTCTGGTCATGAGCGATTTGGAGAGTTTGTAGATAGACAGCCGACTCTATCACGATCGACACAAGCTAACAAGATTTTTCGCGCGTGGCACATTAACACCCGAAGTTTTGCCTTCAGCCTGTTCTCCTGGCACCATCCAGTTGCTGATATGGCAGAGCCGTTTCTCCGACTCCCAGGTCCAAGCCAGACAAGACTTTGAGTAGTTATGGCAAATCTGAATACAACCCTCTGCTGTTAGAATATCATTGACGGTCATGGTTGACTCATCCAAGCCTCCAACGTGGTCCCAGTTCTTCCGGCCTGATTGGAGTATCGGTGAGTCGAGAGAAGGGGCACCATAGATATCCCACAAGTCGATCCAAAGAAGGATGTCATCTATATGCTGGAACCTCCGACCGACATTTATCATTTCTGAAGGAGTTAAACTGTGAAAAGAAATGATCGGCGCGCACAAGCGGTCCTCTGTGACCCTTATGGCTCGGGGTGGACCCCCATTGAAAAATATGACATATCGTTCGTCAAGATAGATGCCTAATTTGAGCAAAGTTGTCGCGAGCAGTTTATCGCCCCACGTTTCTTCGAGGGATTCCAGATGGGCCGAGGTAACCACTTCATGGTGCGCGAAAAGCAAACGCATTGTGGCTTGGGATAGAATCACGGAGGATCCTCCATGTGCAAAGCGACCTTTGTAGTCACCTACCGCGTTCCCAACATAGAAGGGTATTTCAGGGTCAAGATGTTCTAGTAGTAGCTTCAGGGCAGGCTGCATGAGATACGTATCGTCGTCTGCCATAATGTACCACTTTTTATCCGGCATCTGGTCATAGCATAATTCAAGACCAGAAATAAACTGCTGCATGTCAGCCCCTCAAGTCAAATTATGAGGTATCACATCGATGCAAGCCACAGTAACATGGAACGAAAGTCCCCTTAACAATGGGGGCTAAATACCTTTAGAGCGTCCAGCTCCCACCCGAACGACCTCGATAGTTCCTTTGCGATTTCCACGTCCCCGTTGGAGATCGCAGCGGTCAAATTGGAGTGTTTCCTCAATCGCGGGTGCTCTAGTTCTGCAGATAAGTATCCTTTTTCCAGCATCCAAGCCACCAGGTCAAAAACTGGTAGGCGCCGGCCATTGTAGCTAAAAAGTTGACCTGAAGGTGTGGCAAAGTCGCCAACAAGAATGAGGTTGTTGAATTTATCCTGCTCGTGAGCTTCTAACCAAGCAGCGATGCGATCCTTTGTTCCAAATCCAGATTTCATCAACACAGCAACATCATCCGATATAACTATTGGGAAAGTAGAACGCTCCGAGAACCACCAGTGGCCCCCCAGGTAAGAGGTGAAGGCGGTACCGAAGGCTTTAATATTAAAGCGAGCCGATAGTCGGATAGGGTGGTCATATGGGAGAACTATCCACAGCAGGAGCACAAGGGCTAGAAGGTATATGAGCACCCGGAAGGGGCGAGACACACATTGCCGCCATATTTTCATACCGACGGGTTCAGGGGTGAAGTGTCATGAAGCGGAAGTAGGTGCAAGGATAGCAGAACTGAATGTTGATGCCTGCTCAAGTTAGAGTAAGTACTAGCGAACAGCTGACTACGCAGGCAGTGAAGGATTGGATGCCTTAAGGCAAGGGGAAAACAGGGCCAATTGTTATGACATAGAGATGAGTTGTTAACACCGGAAGAGCTAAAAGAAAAATAGATTAAAAAGGCTTAAAGAAAGAGACAGTCGCCCCCACTCGGATCTCCGTCGAGGGGAATTTGGAAACAAGTCAAACGGTCAAACGATGGGTTAAAATTTGAGACATTCCAGCGTTAGCATTGTTGCAAGCGTCTTGGCTTCCCACAGCCTCTCCGCTTCTATTTCTGGTTTTCTCCTGTATTGTATAGACAAAAATACATGTTTGTCATCATCATGGTTTCCTGGGGCATTGGCATCCAAAGAAATTTTCATCTGAAGGAAAAAGGGCTCAAGATCGACAAAGGGGAGTGCCACCCGGGAACCCGGGAACACGTTCAGGGCATTTCAGTTCGTGCCCGGGTTTGGGTTTGGGTTTGGAGACTATTCCGGAGTGGGTCAGGGCAATAGATCGGTCACGGGGTTTTGTGGCTGGGCAGCGAGTATGTGTAGTTTGCACCATTTTCCTTTCTGACACCTCCATTAGAAACATGAATAAACTGAACAGCAATCGTTCAGCGTCTT